CAGAAAATAGGTATTCCATTTTATTCATGATGATTAATTAATTATTTTATTTTTACAAGAAGAATTTTCTTTAGTTATAAATATTTTGTTGTTTTTTAATTTTTAATTTATAGGGTTATCATAAAAAAATACTAAATCAAATTTTATCAATTTTCGGAAAAGCTAGATTTCTTGATGTGTACTCCAGGGGCAAGGGAAGTTCCGTCTAATAACTTGGATATATTTTTTACAGAAACTACACGCATAAGGTTAAAAGTAGACGAGAACTGTTAAATTACAATCACAGAAACATATTATTTTCACAATTTAAGTAGGATTTATGTAGCGAAACTTTAAGGTGACGTCATCAAATTTGTGGAGGGGATCAGTGGACAAATTTTAGTTTAGTAAATAATTGTTAGGTAGTCAGTAATGTGCATTTAAATTCAAAGACCAAATTAGTGTTTTCAATGTTAAAAATTATTAAAACCGTATTTAAGAGTAGTCTATAAATAAAGTTGGTCCATATATATACTTGGTAAACCCCTGATGTTTTGATTTTGGGTTTGAACGAATCCTGTATTGTCTTTTTGCAAGAATCTGTTAACTTTTATATCTCTGGGTCCACTAGTCTATTTTTTTTTTTAGAACTTGAAAGAATCTCCGAGGCCCTTTGTATTTTACTTTGGAAATAATTTGAAAAAATCTCAGGTCTTTCTAATGTATTTTTTTAATAATGTGGAAGTATCTCCGACACTCCTTATGTTTGATTTTTTAATAAGTTTGAACGAATCTCAGAGACCTCCAGTGTCTTTTTTTAGGAAATTAGAAAGAATCCAAGGCGCTCCTTATGTTTAATTTCTGAAAAAGTTTTAAACAATAGCGATCCCTATGTTTTATTTTTGAAAAAATCTCAGCGGCTCCCATTGTTTATTTTAGGAAATATAAAAGAATCTCGGGGGATTCCAATATTTGATTTTTGAATAAGTTTGAAAGAATCTCGAGCACGTTATGTTTGATTTTTGAAAAAGTTTAGTAGAGTCTCAGGTTCCTTATATTTGATTTTTGAAAAAATTTGAAAGAATCTCGGGCTGCTTATGTTTGACTTCTGACAAAGTTTCAGGGATCCCGTGTCTTTTTGGGAAATGTGAAAGAATCTCTGAGGCTCCGTATTTTTGATTTTTGAAAAAGTTTGAAACAATCTCGGGATCCTTTTGTTTGACTTTTGAAAAAGTTTGGAAGAATCTCGGGCTCCTTATGTTTGAATTTTGAAAAAAAATCTAGTGCTCCTTATATTTGACTTCTGGTAAAGTTTCTGGGACCCGAGTGTCATTTTTTAGGAAATATGAAAGAATTTCCTGGGATTCCTAGGTTTGATTTTTGAAACAGTTTGAAAGAATCTCGGCATCTTAATGTTTGATTTTTAAAAAAGTTTGAAAGTACCTCCGGTGTCTTTTTTTTTGGTAAATGTGGAAAAATCTGGAGAATCACGGGATCCTTATGTTTGACTTCTGACAAAGTCTCAGGGACCCCGTGCATTTTTTAGGAAACGTGAAATGATTTCCGGGAAACCCTGTTTGATTTTTCAAAAAGTTTGAAAGAATCTGAAGACCTCCACTGTCTTTTTTTGGGAAATGTGAAAGAATCTCTGAGGCTCCGTATTTTTGATTTTTGATAAAGTTTGAAAAAATTTCGAGCGCCTTATATTTGATTTTTGAAAAAGTTTGAAAGAACCACAGTCTCCTCACGTTTGATTTTTGAAAAAATTTGAAAGAATCTCGGGATCCTTCTGTTTGATTTTTGAAAAAGATTGGAAGAATCTCGGGCTCCTTATGTTTGAATTTTGAAAAAAAAATGAAAGAATTTAGGACTTCTTATGTTTGACTTCTGATAAAGTTTCTGGGACCCGAGTGTCATTTTTTAGGAAATATGAAAGAATTTCCTGGGATTCCTAGGTTTGATTTTTGAAACAGTTTGAAAGAATCTCGGGATCTTTATGTTTGATTTTTGAAAAAGTATGAAAGTACCTCCGATGTCTTTTTTTGGTAAATGTGGAAAAATCTCTGGAGCTCCCAATGTTTGATTTTTGAAAGAGTTTGAAAGAATCTCAAGAACCAGAGTCTCTACTTTGGGATATGTGAAACAATCTAGAGCGCCTTATATTTGATTTTTGAAAAAGTTTGAAAGAATTTCAAGCCTTTATGCTTGACCTCTCTGGGACCTATTTTTAGGAAATTTGCAAGAATCTCCGGGGCTCCCAATGTTTGGTTTTTGAAAAAGTTTGGAAGAATCTCGGGATCCTTATGTTTGATTTTTGAAAAAGTTTGAAAGAAGTTCAAGCCCTTATGCTTATTTTTGACAAAATTTGAGCCTCGGGGGCCTTCAGTGTCTTTTTTTTAGGAAATGTGAAAGAATTTGTGGGCTCGAAATGTTTGATTTTTGAAAAACTTTGAAGGAATCTCGGACTTCTTATGTTTGAAAAAATTTGAAAGGACCTCAGAGGCCCCCAGTGTGTTTTTTGGGAAACGTGAACAAATCTGCGGGCTTCCTAATGTTTGATATTTTAAAAGTTTGAATTTTGAGCTCCTTATGTTTGATTTTTGACAAAGTTTGAGTCTCGGGGACCTTCAGTGTCCTTTTTTAGGAAATGTGAAAGAATTTGCGGGGCTTGAAATGTTTGATTTTTGAAATAGTTTGAAGGAATCTCGGACTTCTTATGTTTGAAAAAATTTGAAAGGACCTCAGAGGCCCCCAGTGTGTTTTTTGGGAAACGTGAACAAATCTGCGGGCTTCCTAATGTTTGATATTTTAAAAGTTTGAATTTTGAGCTCCTTATGTTTGATTTTTGCCAAAGTTTGAGTCTCGGGGACCTTCAGTGTCCTTTTTTAGGAAATGTGAAAGAATATGCGGGGCTCGAAATGTTTGATTTTTGAAAAAGTTTGAAGGAATCTCGGACTTCTTATGTTTGAAAAAATTTGAAAGGATCTCAGAGGCCTCCAGTTTTTTTATTTGGGAAATGTGAAAAAATCTGCGGTGCTCCTTATGTTTGATTTTTTAAAAGTTTGAAATTCAAGCTACTTATGTTTGATTTTTGACAAAGTTTGAGTCTCGGGGACCTTCAGTGTCCTTTATTAGGAAATGTGAAAGAATTTGCGGGGCTCGAAAATTTGATTTTTGAAAAAGTTTGAAGGAATCTCGGACTTCTTATGTTTGAAAAAATTTGAAAGGATCTCAGAGGCCCCTAGTCTCCTTTTTTGGGAAATGTGAAAAAATCTGCGGGGCTCCTAATGTTTGATTTTTTTAAAGTTTGAATTTCAAGCTCGTTATGTTTGATTTTTGACAAAGTTTGAGTCTCGGGGGGCTTCAGTGTCCTTTTTTAGGAAATGTGAAAGAATTTGCGGGGCTCGAAATGTTTGATTTTTGAAAAAGTTTGAAGGAATCTCGGACTTCTTATGTTTGAAAAAATTTGAAAGGATCTCAGAGGCCCCGAGTGTCTTTTTTTGGGAAATGTGAAAAAATCTGCGGTGCTCCTAATGTTTGATTTTTTAAAAGTTTGAATTTAAAGCTCCTTGTGTTTGATTTTTGACAAAGTTTGAGTCTCGGGGGCCTTCAGTGTCCTGTTTTAGGAAATGTGAAAGAATTTGCGGGCTCGAAATGATTGATTTTTGAAAAAGTTTGACGGAATCTAGGGCTCCTTATGTTAGATTAGAATATCATGCCTGTTTTTAGGAAATCTGAAAAAATCTCCGGTACTCCCTATATTTGATTTTTGAAAAAGTTTGAAAGAATCTCTGCGGCTCCTTGTGATTGATTTTTGAAAAAGTTTGAATGAATCTCAGGCTGCTTATATGTTGGTAAAATGTGTTTAAAATTTCACAACAATCGGTGTACTAGTGTCGGAAATTATCTATTTAATAAAATGGCCACGAAGTGACAGGCAAAAGGAAATGGAAGAGTTACTTCTTCAAGTTCTAGAACACTATTAAAGTGTTTCCTTACGTTCGGGAAAAACTATAATTTTCTAATAATCCAGTTTTTTGGAAAAAATTAATAGCTGAGAAAAAACAAAATTTGATAACAATCAGTTCTGTAGTCCTGGAGATTATCTGTCTAATAAAAATCAACACAGACGACAGACAGACAGACAGACAGACAGACAGACAGGCAGGCAGAAAGAAACGGGCGACCTATTTTTCATAATCTAGAGGTTATGATAGGTCGAGAAAACATAAAAGTAGTGATTTATATAATTGTTCCGCAGCTTACGTTCGAGAAGTGAAAACAAAAAACACAAATAAGTAACCACTAGAATATGAAAATAAAGAACGTACGTAAATCTAGGGAAGAACATAAATGTAACGATTGCCAAAATAACTTCAACAAAAATTAATTGAAAAATAAAAAAATGCCCTCTTTCACAGGTAAATTATGTAGGAAATTTTTTGAAACTCCTCCAAATCCAATGAAACTTGACAAATAAAAAATTGACATATTTAAATTTTTGAGCAATAAATACAAATGGATAACTCGTCTTGGATTATCCAGATTAGCCACGTAATATATTTCTTTAGTAATCAATAGCATTTTCATAAATAATTATCGGTTCAGAAAAAAACCTATTATCCTGTTTATTAAAACAAACCGAAAAATTGTTATTACAGTAAATACCTCTTTAAGATTTCTGGAATACGCAGTTTTTCCTACAGGAGACACGAACAGCATGCGGTTCCCTTATTAGAGTGAGCGGCACGTACAAATCTCCTGTCTCTATAAGTTTCTTTTGTACGGCCGATGAATATTAAAACAGGCCACTGCAGGCAAATGTTAAAAGATGTAAAAATACCAACATGGTATTCATAACAAATAAGAAAAATTGACAAGCATAAAGCATAACTTCAGTCTAGTAAACCTGCCAACTGCTTATGCGCAATATTTTACCCATTTCATGCACCGATTTACGCAGCACTTTTTCGTTTTCGACCCCTCAGAGTCAATTCTCTCCACTCTAGATTCTTCCTTACCTTGATAAGATTTTGGAGACGCAGCCGTGGGAGACCCTCAGCTGCCTCGAAATATCACAGGGCCGTACTCCGTTATGCGCTAATTCGACTATCCTCTGCCTGACCACGTCCGGCAGCGGCCTGCCGTTAACGAACACTCCACCCAGCTGATTGACGCCCCCATGACCTGCAAACCACCATAAACAAATCAGTTATTAATAAGCAAGTCGAAATTGCGCAACGCTGCGCCAAATCATATCTCCGCCCACCGCCAATCGCGAATTTTTGTTTTGACAGCCGGCGCATTTTTGCGCATTCCGCGCCGTTTAATTAAATTGTGCGCCCGATTTGAATGAAAATGGCGATATTGTTCGCGAGTAATATTATATTTATGCGCAACAGATACGGCAGCGCAATAACAATAAATATTGGCACTATATAAATCGTTACAGGCATGACTACCTCCGCTTTTATTTAATAAATACCACACTTGAATTAGAAGTACTATTGCAAAAACACATATTTATGGTACAATTAAAAAATTTATTTATGATATCTGCTCGGGATAACTGGCGTGGAATTTTATTCGCATTGTTGCCGCCAGTGTTTTGTTTCTAAACACAATTTTACTTTATTGTTCGTGCAATTAAGGCTCGCTAAGTACGCAGGAATGAGCCAAACTACAATTTATTAATGAAATTGCTACATAATTTATGCCGACGTTTCGTAATTTTATGACTTGTCATCGGGGCTAAACACCATTATTGTCGTCACAACCAATAACCGAACGAAAATAAATTAATTAAGTAATTGTTTATTACTCACTAATTATTAAAATGATTACTGTTTTTCAGATTCGATTAAGCAACGAGTTACTTTCGAAGTGTAGAAATTAACCACACGGTGAATAAATTTCGTCATTAAATGTGCATTCTTTGCACGGAGATAACAATTTTTGACTAAATTATCAGAAACGTGTAACACAAGACGCAATTTCCGTTTGTCCGAAACGAATAACAAAAGTGAAAACCTATACCACAATGTTTTTCTTCTAACACCGAAAATAATCATCGAACGCGTTATGGAAGACAGGTCCTAAAATAAACCGACAAATTGAGTAAGAATGCTATAATGGGAGTAGTCAAGGTCGGCAAATGTGTTAACACTAAAATCGTCTTTGTGTTAAATCGTAAATTTATTCAATTAGTGCGCTAAAATTGTTGCACATTATTTATGGCCGGAGATGTACACAAATATTTCGAGAATTCAGAGCAAAAAGCGCGCAAATAAAATTCGATTTATTGTGTAAGAATTTTCTAAGCAATTGACGTCCCAGTCAAAAAAAAGTCAAAAATTTCAAAAAAGTGGGTTTTGAAAATTTGAAAATTCTACACATGTCCAAATTCCATAAAAAATATGTGATATAGTAGATTTCGGCGAACTGATTCGAAAAATAATGCCTGTTGCAATTCCAGAGTAAGATTTTCGAAATATTCGGTTTCAAAATAAAATTTTTAAATATTCCAAAAATTGCATTCTATTTTGGCGATTCTGCAAAATCGTTACAAAATTCGAATAAATGAAGCAGAAAATAACTTATGCAAGTCGAAATTAACACAAGAAACTCTTTGTGTAATTTTTAAAGGTGCTCGCAAAAAGTCAAAAATTTCTCAAAAACAGTGAGTTTAAGTTTAAGATCTTGGTACTTGCCTAGAGATCCACAAAAAATTCTCTGATATAAATCTCAACGGGCTGAATCGCAAAATATAGCCTGTTGATAGCAACATTTTAGAAATATTGAGTTTCATATTTTAATTTTTTAAAACTCTCAAAATTGGCATTTTATTTTGGCGGTTCTGAAAATGTGGTTGCAATAGTCGAAGAAATGAAGCCGAAAATAGATTATACAAGTCGAAATTAAGGACAAAATTTCGTTGGATGATTCTGAAAGGTGTTCGAAAAAAGTCAAAAATTTCAAAAAATTGCGTTTGAAAATTTGAAATTTTGGCAGGTGGCTAAATATCCACAAAAAATCTATGATGATGTAGATCTCGACAAGCTAATTCAAGAATTGATTTTTATCGACAAGTCTAGAACAATATTTTCGAAATACTCGGTTTCAAAATAAAATTTTTAAATATCCCAAAAATGGCATTCTATTTTGGCGATTGTGCAAAATCGTTACAAAATTCGAAGAAATGAAGCAGAGAATAAGTTATGCAAGTCGAATTTAACACAGGAAACTCTTTGTGTAATTTTTAAAGGTGTTCGAAAAAAGTCAAAAATTTCTCAAAAAAGTGAGTTTAAGTTTAAGATTTTGGCAGTTGCCTAAAAATCCACAAAAAATTCTCAGATATAAATCTCAACGGGCTGAATCGCAAAATATAGCCTGTTGATAGCAACATTTTAGAAATATTGAGTTTCATATTTTAGTTTTTTAAAAATCCCAAAAATGGCATTTTATTTTGGTGATTCTGGAAATGTGGTTTCAATAGTCGAAGAAATGAAGCCGAAAACAGATTCTACAAGTCGAAATTAAAGAAAAAATTTCATTGGATGATTTTGAAAGGTGTTCGAAAAAAGTCAAAAAATTCAAAAAGTTGCGTTTGAAAGTTTGAAATTTTGGCAGGTGGCTAAATATCCACAAAAATTCTGTGATGTAGATCTCGACAAGCTGATTCAAGAAATGATTTTTATCGACAAGTCTTGAGCAATATTTTCGAAATATTCGGTTTCATACAAAAATTTTTAAATATCCCAAAAATGACATCTTATTTTGGGGATTCTGCAATATTGTTACAAAATTCGAGGAAATGAAGCAGAAAATAACTTATGCAAGACGAATTTAACAAAAGAAACTCTTTGTGTAATTTTTAAAGGTGCTCGAAAAAAGTCAAAAATTTCTCAAAAACAGTGAGTTTAAGTTTAAGATCTTGGTAGTTGCCTAGAAATCCACAAAAAATTCTCTGATATAAATCTCAACGGGCTGAATCGCAAAATATAGCCTGTTGATAGCAACATTTTAGAAATATTGAGTTTCATATTTCACTTTTTTAAAAATCTCAAAATTGGCATTTTATTTTGGCGATTCTGAAAATGTGGTTGCAATAGTCGAAGAAATGAAGCCGAAAATAGATTCTACAAGTCGAAATTAAAGAAAAAATTTCATTGGATGATTTTGAAAGGTGTTCGAAAAAAGTCAACAATTTCAAAAAGTTGCGTTTGAAAGTTTGAAATTTTGGCAGGTGGCTAAATATCCACAAAAATTCTGTGATGTAGATCTCGACAAGCTGATTCAAGAAATGATTTTTATCGACAAGTCTTGAGCAAGATTTTCGAAATATTCGGTTTCAAAACCAATTTTTAAAAATACCAAAATTGGCATTTTATTTTATCGATTCTGAAAACATGAGGCCGGAAGTAATTTATGTCAGTCGAAATTAACACACAAATCTCTGAATAATTTTTAAAAGTGCTCGAAAAAAATTCAGAAATTTCAAAAGGCCTGGCTTTTGAAAATTTGAGATTTTCGTAGTTGTCTAAATATCTACAAAAAAATCATTGAGATTATTCTTAACGAGCTGATTCCAAAAATATAGCTTGTCCCAGAGCAGTCCCAGAGCTAGATTTTCGCAATATTCGGCCTTAAAATTCAATTTTTAAAATATCCCATTTGATTTTGGCGATTATGGAAATATGGTTGAAATAGTCAACTAAATGAAAACGAAAATTACTTCTTGTTTTAATTAAACCCTTAATATTAGCGCTAATGAATGATAGATTAAGAGGGAGTACGGGTGGGTGGGCGGGGCAACTCTGTAATCCTTCCTGTGAACAGTTCTATTAAAATTGGAATTATTCAGATGAGAAAGGATTAAAGAGAAACGATTTCGTATACAAACAGACAGACAGATGACGTACCGACGGAAACGGGGACCTACTTTTTCATACTGTTACTAGATGCACTGAACTCAAATCTTTTATCATTACACAAATAAACAAGATATTTACGGTTTTCAAAAATATTGCTAACACTGAATAGTTGAAATGTGGTAGGTCGACTTCACAAATTTAAAAACTACCGAAATAAAAAAAAAAGTGCCGAACTTGTAAAAATCCGATTCCAATCTTAATGTTTCTAAAACGGTACAGCTAATTGTAGAGCACAAAAGAAGGCACTTTTTTCAAATTGAACCAACTTTGCATCATTTACGGTTTCCAAGACCACAACAACGATTAAATCACTATATAAGTACCCCAAAATTGACAAAATAGATATCTGTGCGTGTAAGACCTCATCTCATTTTTTCTAATTTAGAGCCTTTGGCTCGACTCTTGAATTATCCGCGGACGCATCGCAATGGTTGTTTCGATAACGGTTTCCAGCGACAAAAGAAAAAATGTGTTTGTTATTTGCTACAAAAGTGTGATAAGTCTCCACCGCAGCACGTATTGTGGAGGAGAGAAATACGGGTCAGTCTAACGGAAATACAGAACGAGGCTGATATCTATCGTATTTTTCTAGCATTTTATGCGTTTGCCATTTGCATGGATGCATTCTGCATCTACATGTTAATTAGCCGAGCCATCAATACAGGATGATAGCGCAATAAATACCTCTGCAGAAAAATCGGCGACTTTATAAACCTCCACATAAAACGCAACGCTTTTAATTAAATGCCAAGACTCGGCATGCAATAATTTCGGGCCAGATAGGCCATCATAATCAATAATGCGGGATACGCAGGATAAAGCCGCAAATACATCAATTTTCCGCGAAAACAATAGTTTGTGCACTATTCACCTGAATCGAGCAAATAAAATCGTCGGCGGATTTAAACGATAAAAACTCGCAAATAATAATTTATGTCGAAATCAGCGCTGTTATTCAATTGTGGATCGTAAATCAGGTTTATTGCTGGCAGTAATTAGTATAAGCTCGTAATTGATTGTTTGAGCCTTAATGCTGATTTATTACAAATATCGAATCATACAAGTACTCTCCGAGAGTTTATTGGAGAGTCATACGTGAGCTAATTGTTGTGTGAGGCACGGAAAACTCGGAGCGGGACGGGACGGATTATGCTTTATGGGCATGGTATCGAACCGCGCTGTCATATACCCGCGGATATAGTGCCCATTATGGGACGGCGGGCTTCTTCTTGTTTCAACCCGACTTAACTTATA